TATTTCAGAAAGTGCACAATATCTTGAAGTGTGAAAAATTAGAAGAAACCTAAAATTATGAGTAGTCTACTTCACAGAAGTATCTTCCCAAACCCAAAGAGAGCAACTATGGAGATATTATATGATTCTGTCATACACAGCATGTATTATCATTATGATGACATGAATTACTACAAAATATAAAACAAAGTAAAGCCTTCTAGAAAGTGGACAGAGAGGATTTGTCATTATGCAAAATAGCAAAACTTACATAAAATTTTAGCAATATATTTAAAGGATTTCTTTGGGTGCTATTAGGAAAATCAAAGGTTGTATACTTTTTCCCCCCAAGTAATTGGTTTTATCTATCTGGGTATACAAATATATTTAAGTAACATTTATAACTCTTGTCCCCTAAAGTACCTTGTAAAGAGACTTCAAAGCCAGGTGTGATGATCTTCCTTAAGTTGATCATTGTGATCTGAATTCTTATGAGCTGGTGGTTCATGAAGCATATAAGCCACAAATGATATAGAACATATTTAAAAATGTAACTTGATAAACTTTAATAATGCATAAATTCAAAGACAGGGAGAAAATATCTAGGCAAGGACCAGAAAGATCTAACAAGGAACAAAATATTTTTTCACAGAGACAACTGATATAGCAACAGTAGTCATTAATTGTTGTTATATAAGGTAGTGATTTTCAAATTAAGGTTAAAATACAGTAACTGATGGAAACATTAATAGATGTGAAGGAAAAAATCCTTCCTTCAAACATAAGTTTAACCATTTCTAACAAGTTTTTTAATGCTTTTCTTTTATTCCTTTAATGGACAGATGGGAGTTGATATTTCACTAATGTAAATGAGAATTTGTAAGAAATATCTTTATTGTGGAGTATTCTTATCTGGCCGAAGAATCTTTTAAATGAGACACAGATGTATACTTCCTATAAAGAGAAGAGTATGAGGGGAATCCCATTTTGGAAATATTGATATAATGAGTTTTGGAATGCAATATCTATAGAAAGCAATAATTACTTACTGATCTTTGCAATTTATTAAAGCATACAGAAGCCTGATTTAAAGAAAAGTTTTAACAGGGAGATTGCCAGTATATGGATAATGTGATTTTAGCACATTTCACTAAAAGTATTAAGTATTAGACAACTTGCTGTGCAACCTTTAAAGAAAAGCTTTTTATCAATCAATAAACTTCCCCACGAATTCAATATAATGCTGACTGTATTTACTTTATTATTTCTGTACAATCTAGATGTATTAAAAGAGGACCAAAATGTTGGTATATACATAAAATTGTGAGTTTGTAAATAACATGAAAAGGACAATCAAATGAGTTTATCAATATATTGTGCTTAGTAGGCTTAGACTTAGAACCAGGTATGCATAATACCACATGCCTTCCAGTGTACAGGGAAGAAATTTAGTATGGCAGAAATGAAGGGAAGGATGGATGGGGGCATAGGGGAAGAGGAATAGAAATAGGAAAGGCAGTGAGGAAGGAAGGGTAGGAAAGGAAACAGGAAGGCAGGGCAGGGAGAACAAAGAAAACAGGCAAAAGGGGAGGAGAGGTAAAGGAATGAATTAGTAAGGAGGGATGGAGGGAGGAATCGGGAAATGAAGGGAAGAAGGGAAACAAACTCCATCAACACAAGTGAGCTCTAAAATATTTGGTGAGACTAGTATTACTTGTATTAATAGTCACAGTTTATTTTTCTAAGGTGATTTTATCTGTTGGGAGGCCTTTCAATGAAATTATAAAGTTATGTAAAATTTCTTATCAAAATTTAACATTTACAGACATTGGGAGACAGGAAGTGTTTTAGTAGCAAAATTCTGTATTGGCGCATTTGTAGAGTTTATCTGTGCCTGCAAATATACTGTTACTGTTTATCGCTTGCCACTGTCTGCCTCAGTGACTCCTCTGAGCCCTCCTTTGGAGCCACAGGTCACATGTATCTGACTCGGCAAGGGTTTCACTCTGCAGTAATCGTATTTTTCAACGACAGAATGACAAAACCTGGCAATGACTTACTCGCATTGATTTTATGCCTTATATTATTCCATCCTGTTAAAATCCTCAAAATGAGGTTTATTAACTTTGTAGCTTTTATTCTAACCAAATGCCATTTACATATTAACTGTGTTTACACTGGAAAAATGAGTGTGATGAAGTTTACTAACAATGGGAAAGATGTATATTTACAATAAGTGCTGGAAATAAGAAGCTCAGCTAGCAAGACCAAGAAGATGTGTCCATGTTTGTTAAAAAGTGATTTGCTTTTATTTTCCAGTGTCTTATTTTGTGAACGGAGTGAAGAATATTGTGTTTGAAGACATGAGAATAAAAACCCTAGTGCAGTTCAGTGTGTATGATGAAGTGGCAATAAAATAATATTCCTTCAATATTGCTCAAGATGAGACATATGCAGGATCAAGAATTTTTCATATTTGAAAGTTTATTCTTCAAGTCACTATCTGCCAAAGTTTTGCTTATAATAATATTTCCAGAAATGAAACTACATTTTATATTTTCCACATATGGCCATTTTTGCAAGTAGTGTCAGCACAAAATTTGTTTCAGATACTACATTTCTAAATGAAAGATATATTTGTTAAACTACAATTCTGCTTAGAATATATATTTCCTCAAATAATTATTTTATAAAGAATATCATTAATTGGAGTGATAATTCAGAGTAAATATCACCTAAAACTGGTACTATGCTAGATTTAGTAAATCAATGAGAACTGGACATCCAAACAAGATAGCCTTAACTTATGGTTTTTAAATACATGTCAGAGAGCCCAAAAGGCCCAGGTTGTTGCTTTTACATTGTGTTAGGAACTCTCAATCATTATGTGCCTTATAATAGGAAATATTTGTTAAGGACCTTTTATATGAGAAAGTTTGAGAGTTTAGATAGATGATTAGATTAATCTGTAAGTAGATGATTGATAGATAGATAGATAGATACATCCTCTATTCCAAAAAGTTTATAATCTACTTAGAAAACAGTTCACATGTTGAAAAGTAAATAGTAATAATACTAGATGATTAGGCTGAGTGACCCAGGTAGGAAATACTGTGGGCTGGGGTAATAATTCCTGAGATCTGAAAGGGGCAGATTTTAAATTTCATATTTTCATTAGAGTAATATTTGGAAGAGAGCACAGAAAACAAACTGAGCAGCAGGACTTTTTTTTTTACTATAATTAAAATATTTGAGCCTAGCTAGATGGCTCAGTTGGTTGGAGCGTTGTCACAAATAGTTGCAGGTTTGATTTCCGGTCACAGCGAATACCAAGGCTGCGGGTTTTCTCCTTGGTCTGGGAGTGTACTAGAGGCAACCGATCATCGTGTCTGACTGTCTCTCCTGAAATCAATAAACACATCCTTGGGGATTAAAAAATATATTTGAGTTCTAATTATAGGAAATAACAGTGCCCCCTTTTAAGAAAGCTATGAAATGTTATGTAGAAGTCACGTACTTAAACATTTCTTCTGAGTAGATTAAGAATTATGTTTAAAAAATAGCTGTCCAAGGGGATGGGGTAGCTTTTCCCTTTTTCAACAGGCTACTTCCGATGATTCTCCTTGTCTTTCTACTTTCAACTTGTATATTCTTGTTAAATGAGTAATACCAAATTAGTCTATTACTTTAATTGAGTAAAAAAATATATATGTATCCCTTAGGTAGCAGAAAAGTTTCCTGACCAGGTTTTGAATTGCTCTTAGCAGAAATAAAGCTTTAGTTATAGTTGTAGGTATATTTAAATCAAAACAAGATCACAGCAATGTTGAATGCAAGCTAAAGTTAGTATTTTTCTGTGGGCTGAAAAAAAGCAAGTGTGAATGAACTTGTAGAGAAAGATGGAAGGTACCTGTAGTGTTTTAGGAGAGCAGATTAAACTTTAGAAACAGGCTATCTGGGTGGGAGAAAACAATAAAATCAACCCCTTTGGGGCTGTGATCAGGTTGCTCAGTTGGTTAGAGCATCATCCAGATATGCCAAGGTTGGAGGTTCAATCCCCAGTCAGGATACGTATAAGAAACAACCAATGAATGTATAAATAAGAGGAACAACAAATCTCTTTCTCTCTCTCTCTCTCTCCCTCCCCCTCCCTATCTCCCTCTTCTTCCTCTCTCTAAAAAATTAATGAAGGAAACTATTTTAATACATATTAAAAGATTCATGTACTTCAATATTCTCCTATGATTCTGGGCAACTCATTAGAAAATGTATTACTATCACATTATAGCTAATGCAGAGAAGATCTGCCCCCAACAGCATAAATACCAAATTTTATTTATATTGTTGCCTCCACTGAAAAGAACATACCTCCTCAAAGCATAAAGTGGAATACATAAATGACCCCCAAATGGGGGTCATTTGGGGGTCATTTGACCCCCCAATGGGGGGGGTCAAATACATTGATTGCCATGATAATATCTGAATGATCCAATGCTGTATAAACCTGCCATCTATGTTAAATAAGAAGACAGGCTGTCTGTTTTCTTGAAAGTATTAGCTACCCCTAAGTACAGCTTGTTCATGGTTGCTTTAAATTATTTCACTTAATAGAGGGAAATGCCATTAGTTCTACAATGGAGATTACCACTTTATCAATATTCTGCTTTCAGTGTAGAATAATTCCAAGACATTAACCAAGTATTTTTCACTCTATTTCCTATTGTAAATTTCCACTTACTATTTTATTTTCCAGTGCTCTGAGTTGACTTTGCCTTTTAGAAGGAGACATTTTCTTCCACAAAAACAAAATTCATTTTATTTTCAAAATCAGAAAGTCCATACACCTTATTTATCTTGTTAAACTTCTATTCTCTGTTGTTCTCCAGTTGTTCTTCTCTACTGGAAAAGAACATTGGCACACTGTGGAGCATCTGGAAAAAGCTCTGTCCTTTTCCTGTGTTAACCTTTAAGTGTGAAATTCTGGGTTCCTTAAAATAGTTAGCATCCCCTCTCTTTTTCAGGTTCTCCATATAGAGACAAAATCACCATTGCAATTCTTCAGCTGCAAGAGGAAGGCAAGCTGCACATGATGAAGGAGAAGTGGTGGAGGGGCAACGGCTGTCCAGAGGAGGAGAGCAAAGAGGCCAGTGCCCTGGGGGTGCAGAATATCGGTGGCATCTTCATTGTTCTGGCAGCCGGCTTGGTACTCTCAGTTTTTGTGGCAGTGGGAGAGTTTTTATACAAATCCAAAAAAAACGCTCAATTGGAAAAGGTAAATGTCAATTTTTTGCAATTTAAAACAATTCTTGTCATAATAAAAGAAACTTTTTTTTGATATTTCCAACCAAGATTAGTGGTTAGAAATGTAACTGTTAATAGGTTTCTGCCATTCATTTTATAACAACGGTTCACAGAGAGAACACATGATGAACTTCCTGATCATAAATTTAAATGTAGATGTTTAGTGGAGCCAGCTTTAAGGCAAGGGACTCTCTCTCCTCTTATTGAAACCTTAGAAAAAATGCTACTTGAAGTTCACTGCAAATAGGTTACTAGAAGAAAATAATGATGAAAACACAGATCAGAAACTAATATGAAGGGAAAAATGCTTTTCTGCAGATAAAACATGTTTTAATATACAATACTGATTAGTAGTTTCAAGATAGAGTAAATGGAATTTATACTTGAAGATTTTTAGTCAAGTAAATCTTAAATTGAAAAAAATCCTTATTTTGGAAATTAATTTTTAAAAATTGGTGAATGTGTGAAAGTATTACAGGATTTTTTTGGTGTTTAGTTTTATTCTTTTTATAGTTATTTCTTAAAGATTTTATTTATTTTTAGAGAAAGGGGAAGGGAGGGAGAAAGAGAGGGACAGAAACATCAACATGTGGTTGCCTCTTGTGCATCCCCAACTGGGAACCTGGCCAGCAACCCAGGCATGTGCCCTGACTGGGAATTGAACTAGTGACCCTCTGGTTCACAGGCTGGCACTCAATCCACTGAGCCACACCAGCCAAGGATAATTTTATTCTTAATTAGCCCTTTATTTTTTGCACCAATGTTTTATGAAGAACATATGTTAACCTCAAAAATAAGAGATTATCATAATTTTTCTTAGGATTTTAATACAAGTTATTTCTCTATAAGTATCTTTTTTATTCTACAGTAAAAATTTGCAAACCTTATTCAGATGATGTATTTCTAATGCTATAATTTCCATAGATGAATACAAGGATGGATTTTTATTTTTGAAAAATCTGTTACATAACACTTTTTTGTATGTAAGTTTATAGTCTGGACATGAAATCATGCTTTAACCTTTAAAAATCTTCTGACACTTTATTTCATACTTTTTTATACAGAAATATTTTTTGGTTTTAATTAAAAACATTTTTGGGTTTAGCTGCATCAGAGTCAGACTATATATTCATTAATATTTTAAAGGTTTATTAATTTTTGTTTAATGTGAGTATAAAAATGATATTTAAAAATAATAACACACATATAAGGTAAATATATTATGCTAATATTCTCTGAAGTGCTCTCAACTTTAAAACTATTTTTAAAAAACAAAAACATTTACTTATTTCCCTTGGTCTTTAATAGTTTATGTTGCAATTACTTATCCTTTCAGAAATCAAAATTTTAGATACAGCATTTCTCAATTTTTACATGAGTACAGTAATTTTCTCTTTGAAACAGTGTTTTTATAAATGAATATTTTGAAGAGTAAAGGTTCAAAGTTTGAAAAATTCAAACAATCACATGACATTTTTTCACAACGTTCAGGATCTAGTGACTTGGCTGAATCGAATATTTGTTGCTCTGGTATAATTGACAATAAGGTTTAAGTACATACTATATGTTATAATATTTTTTAAATAATATCAAATGAGTTTTAAACTCAAATTCAAAAAAATAAAGACAAAATATATTGCCTCATTAATTTCCATTTTCACTATAATTTTTCAATAGATGTGATATTTGGTTAGTTAATATTAAAGTAAGTTCAGAAATTATAGAACAAATTTCTTTTTTCTAGTTGGAACCTTAAATACTTCTTTTTTCTAGTTGGAACCTTAAATACTGTGATGATTTTCTTTCATTTATAGCTCAGTATTAAAATAAAACAAATGAATTAACAATAAGTGTATTCTATTGCTCTCTTTGTGCTTATCATGAGATTTACCTAGGCCATGTCATTATGCACAATTATTTTACAAGCATTCTGCTTAAAAACAAAAAACAAATGATACAGATTTACCTCTGTAAAGTAATTCTTATTGTCAGTATAAATAACTAATTTAGTTGAATTTTTAATACAACTAGCTCTCTTTAATTTTTATGTACCTGTACGGCCTTATAAAAATTTTGTGAAAGGAAAGTTCCTTTTTTTTGACAAAAGTAGATGAAACATTACATTGGAAAGAAGCAACTGTGTTGGTATTAAATGAGCATTATTAATCACATTCCCCAGTGCTTTTCACACACTGTCACCACATAGCTTCCATATCGAAAATCAAATTCTCTAGTTAACAGGTGAGGCACTTCAGAATCTGTCTCTGTCCACCATTGTGGTTTTACCTTTTGCTTCTCCCCAATTGGTAATTTCTTCTCTAGCCACACTAGATCACTTTCAGTTTTCTAAGGTCATCTAGCTTTTTAAAAAACCTCTTCCATTTGACCTTGTGCGTTTTTTGACCTGACAAACTCTTACTAGTGTTTTGAGATTAGGCATTCCAGACTAGGTGTCAAGACTAAGCATCAGCTTGCCCAGAAAGCTATATCTACTCTATGGATGTAATAGGTTTGGGCAAAGGACACAGCTGTTTTCACAAGGTAGTGTTGGGTTTTCATTTCCTATTCCAGTGAAAAATATGACTTCTATATGTCCCTTTTTTACTTAGCTGATTTCAGATACTATCACCATTGGAAAAATATTTTCTCCCCCTTTGAGAATGTTGGGGAAAGTATTTTGCCCATTTCGAATCACATCCATCAATCAGCCTAGATGACTTTTCTCTGTTTCATTCACATTTGTTGTTTTTTATGTGTGAGTGCCTATTTACCAATTAGACTCTTAGTTCTGGTAGGACAAGGACCTACTCTCTGTGGTTTGTATCTCCAAGGTGGCCAGCAGTATCTGTTGGCATAAGGTCTATCTACCTATCTATCATATCTCTCTCCCTCTCTCTCTATCTCATCTATCATCTGTCTATCTATCATCTAATTATCATCTGTCATCATTATCTACCTAATCTTTCTTTCTATTGATTTAAATTAATAATCAAGTAAATACAGTGACCCATTTAAAAAAAGTCTACCATAAAGAATATAAAAATATTTTCTATGTAATTCAATAGAATTAAGTTTTGCAAATAAATAATTATGGGTTTATTAGAATAACCCATTTTATTTACTATGATATTTAGGTTCTTGGACTCAATTCTTCATTTTTTTTTAGGAAAAATGTATTTATTTGGGCTATACAGTTAACCACCTTACTTAATGTATTAAAATTAGAAAATATTCCTAGATTTTTATCATTAGGATATGCATGTAGACATATAGAAATTCACAATTAGTTTACACTTATAATTGTGCCTTTAAAGTTTAAATTTAAAAATATGATTAATATTTGCACAATTCATTTACTCCAATAATTATTTATTGAGAACCAAACATGCAATGAATTATGTTTCACATATTAAAAATAAACAAGGATATATTATATTCACCATTGAACCCCAAGGTAATTTGCTCTATTCTCTCTTCTCCTCCTCCATTTTCTTTCCCTTTTCTTCAGTCTACAATATTCTAGTACTTTTTAAACAAACAAATAAAATTGTCATTCTTTACTTAAATAAATTGGCAGATATAATACAAACTTGGTCTAGTTGAATATGAACTTTGTAGATAAAATTTATGAAGAGTAATATAATTCCATGTCATTTTACTTCTAATAATAATGATAAAATTAATAATAACACTTACTATTTAGAGGTGAGTATAAATGTTTATAGCAAATGTTTTGTAAAATATTAATGAAATAAAAGGTCTTGATGACTATAATGTTTTTTTATTTCTAAGTAGCTTGGCAATGAATAGTAGTATATGAATGTATCATCTTAAAATGAGGGCAGGTTGAAACTGCATATGGAAGATGATGCTGAACAATGTAGAACTTAAAGAATTAGAAAACTCTAAATTGCATTCCTTTCTGATACCACAAGATGGTGTATTCCAATTTTTATAGTAGATAATGCTTTTGATTTTGTTGCAGATATTGATATATCAATACCTTTTCATTTATTCAAACTTTTAAAATAAATACATATATACTTTTCTAATTTTTTAAAAATGTAACAAATATTTGCAAAGGCACTCAAAAAGTCTTCTTTTTCTGAAATGTCTTGAAAAGCAACTAATTAACATGTGTATTTTTAATTAATTGCCTTTTCCCTAACTTCTCGATGATTTTATAAACTCTGCTTAAGTTTCATTCAGCAAGCAGTTCATGAATCTGCTGCACACAGGAAGCCATTACTGGTCCACGTCAGGCATGTGCATTTGTTTGAAAGGTCCTGCTTCCCCTTCTAACTGAAAAAAGCTGCCTGGTATTAAAATGTTTGTTTTCTCTGGTATCATTGATAATACTCCATGGGTTTTGTAAGCATGAATTATAAGTGCTTGTAATACTTTTAATTTTTACAAAGTTATTTTATAACATAAATATGGTTTATTTATTATGTCTAGAAACTCTATTTCTTAAGTATTTGAATGTGTCCTCTTCTAACAAAAGGTGTACATACATCTTCCTTCTTTTGGTATCCAGAAATAATAGTAACTTAACATACATAGTTTGACTTTTTCTTTTTGCCTGATTTGTATTCAGAAGTAATTTCTTTCCAATGTAATTGAACATAGATTTAACTATACAAATTGTTTTAATTGAAAACATTGAACACCAATTGCTGAGTTTCTTGATATAAACAAAAACTAAACAATAAAAATATTCGTTTTCTCATTACTTCAGTTTTAACAAACTGTAGTCAGTATGTCTGAGAAATAAAAATATAAATTATTGCCCAGATGATCAGTTGGTAACTTATGTGTCCTGTATTGGACACATTTTCAAAACTAATTAATATGGATTTTTGTATATAATCCATTTCATTCAATGTAATTTTTTTGTATTGAAGAGTACTGGTAAAACATATCCAAGATATCTCTAAATAATATTTCCCCAGTCACTGAAAGTTCAAAAAC